GATAAAATATACACTAGCAAAATTATTAGCACAAAATTAATTTCAAAGGCGATTCAAGGTATTTTTATTAATTTTTACCTAATATGTAAAAAAAGTTTATTATTATTTTTTAAAAATAATTATTATTTGCTTATTTAAATTTTTACAAGATTCTGCTCAAATTAAGCTTGATATTACCGATGTTTGAAAGCTTTGGTATGTATAACATATACAAAAAATAATAAATAATCTATTTTTTAATTTGTAAACGGCAATAATTAAAGTTATATTTTTTAAATATAGTATACAATTTCTGTATTAACTTTTATTTTTATATATGTTTTGCTAATTTTTACAATTTATAATTATTATAAAACTTATTAAATATTAACTATATATTTTAAATAAACTATTTTACTTTTACAATATATACGCAGTTTAGTATATCTAAAGTTAATTTTATCTTTTTTTTTATTGCTTTAGAAGTTTATTTTTTATAGTAAAAAATATACTTTGTATAATACAATATTTTAATAGAACTATCTAGTGCCTTGTTATCACTTCAATAATAAAAGTATTTCACATTAAATATGAAAATTCAGTTAGTCTAAATGCACTTTGGATGCATCAGAATTTATTTAACTTACATAATAAATTATTAAACAATATCTATCTATTTTAATCCAGCGTATGCACCGGTACGTACAGTACGTACTAAAGATGCTGATGAAATAAAACTAGATGGTGAAATAATTGGTCAAATTGGTGAAATTAATTTCACAAGCATCTCTAGTACGTACAGTATCAGGTTATGATATATTTAAGTTGCAGCAACCTAAAGCAAAAAACTAACAAGACAGCATTTAATTCAAATAATCTAAGGCTACTAGTACTAAAATCTAGCCTTATACAACAACCGCTATTTTTCGGTGCCTTACACTTTCGTTGTTGGAAGATGTCTTTCCAGATATTTGACTTCTGCTTCCATATCCTAAATTGTAATTACACAAATTTAAATACTAGCTCTAGTGAGAAATAAATATCAGTATTAAATTTATTCTTACTTTGCAATAATCATCCAATGGGAGATCATTCTCATCATAACCTATAAATTATAAAGTATTAAAAACTTCTTCAAATCAATTTAATAATATTTTTATGCACAACTTACCAAACGGATTCTCAATTTCTGTGCCTATTAATTCATGTTACATTTTCAGAAAATTTCAATATTAATATATGAATTAAATCTTAACATTACATTATTAATAATTAATGAATAATACATACCAACAGCTAAGATACCAAAAAAAGTAAAAGATACAAGAAATATCGTGGGAACAGTAAACCAACCAAGTTCAGCAATTATGGTAAATGGAAGTGCAAATACTTCAAATAAATGAAAAAAAAATTAATATTATCCCGCGGACAAACAAAATTATATATATAATCCTATCCTACCATATAACATAACAGCTTGTTTGCTTATAAGTTAATTATATTAATAAATAAGAATAATAAAACTATATTAATAAATAAAAATAATAAAATAAAATTAAATTAACAAATATTCAACTTACAGATGTACATTATATGCAGTTGGGATAGGTGTATTTGCAATTCTTTCCAAATTTCCCAGACAATCGATTAAGGAATTTAAATTTCCAACAACTGATCCAAATTTACTCAGATCGAATTTGTCGTCTTTGCATTGTTTTTCAATATATCTACCCAAATGAAATATAATTTCCTAAATACCAAAAAAAGAAAATCAAAATTTGCTAAATTTTTTAAAGTTAAATATATATATATATATATTGAAAATTATTAAAATTAAAATTACCAAAGGAAGGCTCATGCTTGCATCTACATCTTCAACAAAATCACTTTCGCAATCGCCGTACAAATTTTTCCTTTCGACTTCTGACATTTTAATTAAACTAGGACGGATTTCTTTAACATAAAGAGTCGGTGGAATTCTACTTGATAATGTTCGTGTAACATGTGTATGTGGCATTTCAATCGTAGTTTTTCCTTCTGATTCTTCAATTACGGCAGTTTGATCAGCGGTACCCTCAAATTCTGTAAACTGGAAGTCTTCAGGAAGAAGAAGGTCATTTAAATCACCCCAATGCGTGCCAAATTCTAATCGAAGATGATGCTTGACGGCAACTACAAATGCCAATAATAATTTGATATGTTCCACTTTTTTTTGACGATCTTCTACATTTTTCTCTACGACACCTATCCAAATAGTACGTGTACAGTTTCTGACATATGTACTAAAAAACATGTAATTTATATTTTCATGAAATATCAACATTTATAATATTCTATCGGTGTAAAAATATTAGGCTTAGAACATATACTAACCACATACTACTAAACAGTTTTCGTCCCTCATTATATCGATCATAAGCATTGTTCGTACGGAATGCCAAAAGGAGGCCGACCACCAAAGCAATAGATCCGGCTACATTATAAATAAAATTAGATATTGTTAGATATTTTGACGTATATGTATATTCATTTATATTCAAAGTAATATATTATTATATCTTAGTCGATACTCACTCAAATTACTGGAAAAGGAAACGTTTATATTAAATACTGTATATAAGACCGCGATTAAAATTGTCCACAAAGTTGCAGAAACGAGAATGGGTACAAGATTAAAGAATACCTACGTATGAAAAAAATTTTTTTTTAAATTATATAAATTTCTGAATAATTTTTCAAATTATAAACTTTAATTGCTGAAAAGTATAATACTTACAGAGCCCTGAACGTCAAGTATATCGGGATACCTATAATATTAGAAAAGGGCGTAGTAAATGACATTAATTAGTATGAATAGATTTACAATTATTGCAAATAGTAGGTGGTAGATAGTACGAACCCCCAACCACGTCGGCGTGTTAAACGTTCCCAAAAAGTCTGAGGCTCTCGTGGATTTTTCGGTTTAGTTATAATCGGCATTTTGTTACGTACGAGTAGGTTGATACAATTTTGTGAGAAAGAAAAAAGTACAAGGCTTTTAAAACCATTAAAATCTTATTTTAAATATCAATAATCGTTTAGAAAAAGCCTTCAAACAAATAAAAATAAACATTCTTATTATGTATGCTATACAGTATCTATGTCATGTTAGGTTTTATGTTGTATTTAAGGAATCACGAGCACAGCAATTTAGTGGCTTTTGTGAAAGCTTTATGGAAAGCCACCAAACAAAATTTCATATTATCTATACTATGTTCTCGTAATTTATTTGGAATATCCTTCTAAAATAAGACTTGGTTTTTTTTTTTTTTTTTTTTTTAACGATAACGATAAATATATTAAATATGTTACTTTATTGATATTATAAATCATTATCATTTAAAAGATATCCTTACAAAAAATTTTAACTACAATCTTACATTCATTATACTTGCAATAAAATTAAAGCGTTGACATTTATTAAATTTTTATAACTTATATCGCAAAAAAAAAAAATTAAAAATCTCCAAAAAATTTTATATGTAAATATTGATCAATAATAATTTTTTTTCTTTAAATGTAAGTCATGTACTCATGTAAATAGAAGGAAACTATCTAATATATTTGGGCAAATCTTATAAATATTTTGATTAAAAATTGATCTTTTTACCAAATAGTAAAGAACTCATCTCTGTTTAATAAAGTTCTTACTTATAACGATAATGAAACGATTAATCAACTTAATAAAAAATTCATTCTTTCTATTTTAAATCGAAATAATGTAATTATACTAGAGATGCGCATTTATGCGCATTTTTGCCCATAAGAATTTATATATGTTTTGGTTAGGCCGCCAGAGAGCATAATACCGCGCGTAATTAAGGGATAGGAATTCAAAACTTCCAAAAAATTCCGAAAAGAAAATGAATGAACCTCGAAGATGAGCAAGGTCGCGACCGAAATTCGAGAAACATTCTGATTTTTTTCGAAATGAAACAGAAAAAAGAGAATTTATATCACGCGGTATCATGCACATTTTTCCCATCACTAAATTATACTATTAATTTCCATAATATTGCTTATATGAGTGCTACAAACTTTTGGGCTTTGAAGTTTATGATTTTGTCGGATTCAACCCCCGTAAAAATGTCTGATAATTGACATGTGATATGTAATTATAATTATACTCATGAATAAATTAAACCAATTTAAAATTATACTCACTGGTTAAATGATTTGAAAAATATTACTGTAAATAAGTATTTGTGTTCATGATTTGAAAAATATTAAATACAGTAAATAAGTATTTTGTGTTTTGATTTGTGAATAATATTACTGTAGCTGATTTTAATACCACCGATTATTAAAGTAAATAAATAATTTGAAAAGTATTAGGTAGCGAATATTTGTCTTTATTGTTTGCGATTTTAATTCCACAGATAAAATAAACCATCATTGTACTAATTGCCTATTAAAGCTAATAAAATAGTTTGAAGAGTGTTAGGTAAATAAATACAATATTTGTCTTTATTATTGCTGATTTAATTCTACAGATCAATAAATCATCTTCATACTCACCATTTAAATTAAAGTGAATGAAATAATTTGAAGGGTATTAAGCATCTGCCTTAATATTTGCTGTTTTAATTCCACAGAATAATAAATCATCTTTATATACACCAGCTAAATTAAGTGAATGAAATTATTTGAAGAGTATTAGGTAAATAAGTATTTGTTTTTATGATTTGCTGATTTTACTTCAATTGATTATTAGTAAAATATCTTTATGTTCATCGACTTAAATTGAAGCAAATGAAATAATTAAGGATATGAAGTAAATAAGTATTTGAGTTTATTATTTTCTGATTTTAATTCAACCAATCGTTATATTCACTGATTAACTTATTATCGAAATAATAATTTGAAGGATATTAGGTAAGTAAGTAATTGTGTTCTGATTTTAAATACACTGATTAATATTCACCGATTAAATTGAAGAGTCTTATGTAATAAAGTACTTGTTCATGATTAGTGAACACTATTTGCTGATTTAATTCCACGATTAATAAATTTAAATTAAATGAAATTTACAATTATTTGATATTAATTATTCCTTTTCAATTCATCGATATGTGCTGTGCAAAAAATACTAAATAAGATGTTAGCGCTTCGTACCACCCATCACACTAGTAGAATTATAAAAGAAAACATACAAAATTCGCTAAATAACTCAAATTTCGTTTATATAGCATGTACGTTGTCACACTCGGAAACGGCGAGTCAGTCGCTCAATCTTATGGAACTTCGTATGACGTACTATAATAACTTATCGAATGAGGCGTTTAGATTTGGCAAAGGAATTTCCAAGGCTTCGGTTACCGTTTCGGACTCTGGTCTTCTTAACGTTATTGAGTTTCCAACTTCCCTTAATCTACTTAAACTGACCTATCCTCTCTCTTAGGATAGTCAAACACAAGATTAAACGGGCAAGTCCTCTCTTACTCAACGATATTACGACAATTACTCTTATTCGAAGAGTAAATCAGGCAGCGTAACGTTATAACGGGTACAAGGTTATACGATTAGCGAAAGACTGGGTTGGAATTTATTCGGTGAAATTATGTAAAGAAAGATTTGGATAATTTATTAATGAAGACAAAATATTTATTGACTAGGCGATATCTTTATTGAAGGGCAAAAATGCCTGCTTATATAGATGTTGAAGCAATAGGACAGACAATATGCCTTTTAATACATTAACTCTTCTAAAAGTATCAATTTTTCTTAAATCAATAGTAATTTCTTGTTTAGAAATAAAAAATCTAGTATATTTAACATATTGTTTAATAAATTTATATTTTGAAAGTTTAGCATATAGTTAGTATTTTTTTAAAGAAAATTTTTTAAATTACACGTGGTGTATGTACACATATTATAAAAAAAACAAATTGATTATTAAAAAAAAAAACAATTTTTTTAACTTTAGGGTTAGGGTGAGGCTTGATATTTTAGCAAATTGTTATATATATGCAAAATTTAGCAAGAAATTTTTTTTGTTAGAACTGCAAAAGCGGTTTCATAAGCGAATTTTTGAGATATTGTCAAATTTTGATTTTTTTCTTTGTTTTCATTATGCTATATATTACACCAGATATTAATTTTTGATTGGCTTTTCTTATACTTTGTGTTACTATGTGTATATACACATAGTGTACAAATAGAAATAGTCTTTTTTAAATTTTTAAAATAATATAAATATATTTTAATTATTTCTCTTTTATTTTATTATAATTAAAATATTATCTAAGTAAATAATAACAATTTATTTAAGTAAAGTTAAAAGATATTATTCATTAAGATTATAAAAGTTACAGATATATTAGTTAAACCAAATAGTAAAATACAAATTTTATAATATTCATAACAAGTTTTAAAAGCTGTTTTTTTTCACTTAGGCAATCTTGCTCTTTATTTTATTAGGAGAATCATCAAATAAAATAATATAGGCAATATAAAATACTACATCTTGATATAATATTTTACTACTTTTCTTGTTGCAATTTAGAACTAACTAAACTGCTCAGATAGTACCCAAGTTTGATTTACTGCAGAAGTATTTTATTTCCTATTAGTAACATTCTATCTAGTAGAAGAGGTTCTTCTTAATCTAATTTAAGACTAAACTAAAAGTTGTTAATACCTAGTCTCAAGATGCAAAAAAAAATAAAAAATTATTACAAATAATGAAAAGTAAAAAAGCTACATGCTATAAGAATTTAGTTTAGAATAGCAAAAAAAACTTGCTAACAAGTAAAAAGCTTGCTATCTATATATAAACAAAAACAAATAAAAAAAAAACAAAGTGAACAAAAAATTTTTTTTAACTTAAAAAGAAAAAAGGAAAAGAAAAACCTAGAGTAGTTCTATCTAAAAGTAAGCTTAAAAGTAAGCACTACCTTTAAAAATTATTAAAAGCTATTTTTGAAATATTTTTCTTTTTTTTTTTTTTATTATTAAGGCAGCTTATATTGTTGAAGAAATTTTATTAGTGTTGTTAATAGGATTATATA